CGATTACTAGTACAGCCAATAGCTTGTATCCACCGGCAAATCATAACGGGCTATGATAATACGAGATGAAATTATGCAGATGCAAATGAACTTTATGGAAATGTACCTGCTGCGGGCCCGTAATGAAGCGTGGAAAGAGTTGTGATTTTTATTGCTACGAGTACAATGTTGTTTAGAATTATCCTGTTACGTTTTTTACAATTTCTGTTGATTACTAAGTACACGCTTTGTTACGATACTAATTAAATTGCGTAGGAGTGAAATCAACGCGAATGTACCTACTACGCGTGAATAGGCATCTTTTTATATTGCAACATCTGATTTATTGTTTCATTGACAATATTGAGGTACTGTCGTACAGGTACTAAAACTTGATAGCTTGAGCTTGAACTTGACCTTGCCGAGCTTGATACAACATAGGTGTTTAAAGAATGAAACGGTGATCGGATCTTTATCGTAAATAATCTTACCTTTTTACCAGCTAAATGCAAATATAGGAAACTAAGCCTGCCTCTAAGTCCAGTATAATATTATAGTGGTCCAGCGGCGTGTTTCCTGGCTTCCGCTACTGGTTTCCATGTTTTCACTTTTACTGAGACTCGACTGGATAAATGTACATGTACTAATTATGCTAAGTAAAGTCTTTATACACCTCGCTTTCAAGCAATCTGCAAGCTTGTTTATTTGCTAAAATAAACGGAGAATGCGCATTTACTCGTATGAAGTTACAAGAAAACGAAAGATTTACATATTTTTAAAGAAAACTGGTACAAAAAGTTAAAAACGTCCTAAAAACTTGTAAAGAAATAGTTGATTTCAAATATAGCACAATTTGAATAATCGGTACACCTGGCCGTTAAGACAATAATTTATAGAATATGCTTATCCAAGTAGGCCACTGGGATGGTACCACCGCCCGTAGACATCTGAACATCAAGGGTCGCCGATATTGTCTACCTTTATTGTTAAAGACATACCATAGTATTAACTTTTATCAAAATACATGCTTCAAGAAGCTTCAAGAATGGCACTTACACCACCGTTAACTTCCTTGCCATACATTTTAGATCTCAATCTCTCATCCCAAAATACGGTTATCAATCTACCCAACTCAGGAAAAGTACACTCGGGCACATAATAAGAGCACGTATCATTGAATTGATTAATTCTTTTATTTATTAGAATTCTATAATACTCGTATCATTAATGCATTCATAGTACCTATTATGCGTACAGACGACAGCACATCAAGCTAAATTGTGGCATCTTACTTTGTAAAGTCGTACTTTTCAACAAAAATGTGCAGTCTGATACGGATACCTGCTTACCACAATAGAGTTGTCTTAATTACTCGTAATAAACTTTTTAATGTTAGTATCTACTCGTTCTGATTAATTTTGATCTCAAAAATTACTATTACAACGCAACGGGAAGAAGAGAATCTGAACTTTTCGAAGGTAACTGTACGTTCAGCATTAAAATAACAGCTTTTCAGATAGCAATCATGACGTTGAATGATGCAGCCTTCACGGGCAAGGGTATGGTTTGCACCGTGGATGTGATATTTGGGTCGATCTGGCGGATAACGCCGTGCTCTAGACTTTCTATCGGAATCGAGATGATTTCAATTTGATACAACTGGCTATATTGTATTAATATCCATCTTTAAGATTTCCTTTACCACGCGACATACACCCGTATTCACAAACGATGCTTGCTTAAATTAAGCAGCAAATCGAACGCACAGCGTTGAATAGAGCTCTATGATATACGCATTTATGTTTTATTCGTTCCTGTCATGTATTATTTTGCTTCATTCAACTAAGTAGGATTTAAGTGCCAGGAAAATCTGGCGTGCTTTGTCCGATAGAGATTTCGTAGTAACTGGGAATTTTTTTCTTTCTCATAATATTGATAAAATATTGTGAGTATCAATATTCGCGCGTCTCTCATACTCGAAGCAAACCATATTTATAAATAACTGGCTTCGTAATAAATGATCAATGCTTAAATCTGTATAATGCGGGAACTAACTGTGGGAACTTTTTGTTAAATGTCTTGTTATATTTTGAATTTTATCGTTATTGACGGTAATGACAGTCGTTAGAGGCTCGAAATAAAGTTAGTGTGTAAACCTTATGCTACAACCATATTATGAGTTTACCATTATAATGAGGCGCAATATTCACATCTGCAAATCATTCAGATTTGTATCTGATTTGGAAGAAAGCGTGGTTGGAAAGCCGAGCGAAACAGAGTCCAAGATTGTCCGCATCTTTTTACGTAATGACATCAGATTTTTTGTAAGAATACCCAATTTTTCGATAAGATGAATTAATTTTAAAAAAATACGTTGGTGTTGCAAAAACTACTATAAAATTAATTAATACATATTAATAACGTAAACGGATAACGGAATTCGATGCCGAAATAATTTTAATGTTCTCGTAGTAAGAGAGTCTAGTGCATATTGTTCAATTATTTTGCTAGTGAAATTGAACTTGCCGATCTTCTCAAGGTCAAGAACTTCATCATACCGATTCAAGTTGTCCATAACGGACCGGTTGGTGCCTGACCTACGGCGATTTCGATTTCCAGCGCCAGCCCGTTAGCCACCTGGCAGGGCTGCGTGCGCCTCTAACTGCCTCTCTGTGGTTCATCTTAATGCCGCCATTAAATACTACGTGGAATGCCCACTAACAGTTTTGAGGTCTGGACATGATGCTTTGTGCTGATGCTGAGGCATGTCAACGTGAAGATATTTTTTTACAACTCTTTAACATAGATCATTATTTTCATCCATAAAATTTGAATTTGAAATAATGTTAATGTAATAAATTAATAATATTTATATGGCAGAAATGTGCTAGCTTACGTGAGACACTAATGCAAGACTTGCATTTTAAAATCGTTTTTGTATAAATCTTAGAAATGTCTATCTGCATCAGTTATGTAAACAATTTCTCATTAAAAATCAAGCATCTTTAGCTAGGAACAATATCCGTCCAAGAATTTACATCAGTAACAAAACCGGTCCCTCAAAAACGAAAGTGATCCGCGCCGAGTATAATAAACGTGGAATCACTTTGGGTGATTGTGATCATAAACATTTAATTAGTCCCTGCATGTAGTAAATGTAGTTATTAAATAATAAATATCTTAGATTATTTCGATTTCATTAATGATGTGTTGCAGTAATTAAAGAAGCTTTAAGCTTAGAATACAACCTGACGTGGTTTGTATTATTTAGCACTGCATGACTTTGATTTTGATGTGTTATTCATAATCAGAAATTAAAAAGAAATTTCCAAACCAAACACGACATAGACGTTTTGTTTTATAGCAGCTTTGAATTTCAGACCAAAATTGTATGACTTCGTTTCAGTCTTCTTATCATAAAAATGTGTTACAGATTGTACCAAAACAATAGCATTACAGGTACCTACTATTAAGACATTTACAGATGTTTCTTAACAGACAATCGTAGTCGCTCAAGTAGGAATAAAAATAGACAATGAAGGTACGACTGAGACATTAAACGAGGAGCAGTAAAAAATAGTGCGCGCTGCATTTCCTCGGAGTAACAGGAATGCGGAACGAATCTCGGGAGAATGCACTTTTTTAACACGCGACTATTGACTGTTCTCACAAGCGTGTTATAGTTATTACTATAAAGGCCCTGGCACACAGGCCGCGTCACTGAAGCCCGACATACTACTCGACATTCATAAACTTTGACAGTTCTCGGCCGATGAGACTACACGTTACACCCTTACCTTGTCAATTTATATGGACTGTCACGTCAAGCTGCACTCACACCAGAGGCCTCACCTCAGATCANTAAACCATTCTACGGTAACAATTTACAACTTTGTTACACAGATACGGATAGCTTTTTGTACTCCATACACACCAAGGACGTGTATAAGGATTTGAAACGTCAATTTGAATCTTACTTTGACACAAGCAATTATGATGAAAATAATTTGTTTGACATTAAACGGCAAAATAAAAAAGTACCTGGTTTGTTTAAAGACGAACTAGGTGGAAAACTCATAACTGAATTTGTCGGTTTAAGATCAAAATTATATTGTATTAAAACTGAAAATAAAGAAATAAAAAAAGCCAAAGGAGTAAAAAAACCAGCTGTTAAGCAGTTACTTTTTAAAGATTACAATAATGTCCTATTGCACAACAAAATTATTAAAAAAACAAATGTAGTATTTAAATCGTTAAAGCATGAAATATTTACTCAATCGGTAAATAAAGTGGCTTTATCATCTAACGATGACAAACGTATAATATTAAAAAATAATATAGGTAAATACAGTGGCAGTAGTATGGCCTGGGGTCATAAATCCAGCTTCTTTTAATGTTTCTATAGGTATTATAAGAGCCTACTTGTATTATAAATAATATGTTAATATTCTTTTTTGATAAATGTCTTAGTCTTGTTCTGTATTAAAATAATAATATTATGATGATATTAAATAGTCTGGGTTGAAATAATTTGTTCTTATTTTATGTTTAGATTAGGAAAATATTACTTATTATTAATTATACTTTTTACTAACTTTCTACTCTTAAGCCTGCGACTAACACTTATTGTATTTTATAATACTATTATTATTAAATTAATTAAAAATTATTATTATTATAATTATGAAATAAGTGCTTAATAAATTTTAAACCATCTATGATTTGTTGTTTGATTCATATTACCTATTTAATAAATATTTGTGAAATAATCTTTCTAATAAACTTAATAACCTTATTTCATATTACAATATGCAATTTTCAATATGCTGACTCAAGACATCCGTTCACGTTTGCAAAGTCAACGATTTCGCAATAAAGCAAATCACATGTTTTTTACAATATTTCACCGACAAGCTCATTCACTCCATATCACTGCTCGTCTTCAGACTAGCAACGGATTCATTATTTTGTAAGTATTCAAGTTTGTAATTTTATGACTGTACCTACCTTCTAACTGTGCTGTAATTGTTGGTCTGTGACAGCTGACAGTGACGTTTGGGCTTTTCGCGCCTCTGGGGGAATGCCTCTCTCTCTACGAGCACGAGCGCTTCAAGATGGTTGCTCTGCTGTAAGACTGTCTTTTCATTGAATAACAAACATCCTACACTACATGGTGGCAGCGGTGGACAGCATCAACTGCAAGTGGAGAGAGATCGAGTGTGAGAAAAAACTATTGCTAAGATGTCGGGAACCAAGAGTAATATGGTTGAGCCTCCCAAGGCCATGGACTTTGAGGATCCGGCGGCTTGGACGAGGTGGATTCAGAGATTTAGACAATATATAAAAATATGCAATGTAACGGACGATGAAGAAAGAAGAGATTTAATGTTGTATTGCATTGGAGAAAGAAGTGGGGAGGTAATGACTCAAATTGGAAAGAAAGAAACGTTCGAGGAAATTGTGCAGGGATTTGAAAACTATTTTGAACCAAGAAGAAACATAATATTTGAAAGAGCGAAGTTCCACAACAGAAAACAATTGGCTGGAGAAACCTTTACAACCTATATAACCGAAATTTACAATCTCGCAAAAAACTGTGAATTCGAGAAGATCACTAAGGAAGAGATAATGAGAGACAAAATAGTTGTTGGCATCAACAATAGCAAGTTAAGTGAAAAACTCCAGCTTACTCAGAATTTAACCCTACAAATGGCCATAGATATTATAAAACAACATGAATCACAAACCAAACAAACAGAGGAATTATATGAGGAGCGGGAAGTCGGGAGAATCAAAAAGGAATTCAAGGAACAAAACAGAAAATGTGGGGCTTGTGGCTTTCAACATTATAATAAGATAACTTGCCCTGCAAAGGACAGCAACTGTCATCGATGTGGGAAGAGAGGCCACTATGCAAGAGTATGTAGAAATTTGAAAACTGTACAAGTAATTGAACAAAAAGAAAATCACTTCGAAGAAGGTAAAACCGTTCACTATATATCTATGTTAGAGAAAACTGACATGAAAGTTTGGAAATGTAATGTTTTTGTGAAGGAATTTGACAAAACAGGATTATTTTTGGTAGACTCAGGAGCGGATATAATTTGTGTGCCTTTAAATTTCTTACCAGAGAGTTACATTAAACAACTAAATAAATCTGACATTATTGTTAAATCGGCTGATCAGAGAAATTTAAAGGTGTTAGGATTTCTTAATTTGACATTTGTATATGGGGGAAAACATATTGTAGCTAAAGCTTATGTAATTAATTCAATTTCCCAACCAATTTTGAGTAGAAGTGCATGTTGTCAACTGAATATATTGAGTGTTAATATAAATTCAATAAACACAAGTAGTGAAATTTCTATGTCTGAGATAATGAAAGAATTTCCCTCTTTATTCCAGGAGTTGGGTCAATTTAAGGATGAGATTCATATCAAACTGAAACCTGATGCGAAACCTTTTGTGCAAGCAGTGCCTAGAGTGGTTCCGATACCACTATTAGAAAAATTAGAATTGGAATTAAACAGGTTGCAGAAATTGGGTATAATTGAACCGGTGGAACAAATCACAGAATGGGGGCTCGTCCGGGATTTAAAATAAAATATCTAAAAAAATATACACTTGATGGATGGCCCGAAAAGAACAAATTACCTGTTGAATTAATTCCTTATTATCAGTTTAAGAATGATTTTAGTATTTGTGAAGATTTACTGTTAAAAGGGACTAGAATTGTTATTCCAAATTGTATGCAAAAAGAGATGTTGGATAATATTCATTTGGGTCATCAAGGCATTGTGAAATGTAGACGTAGAGCTCAGACTACAGTATGGTGGATAGGTTGTAGCATCCAAATTGAAAATATAATAAAAAACTGTCCAGAGTGTACAGAACATAGAACGAATCCAGTAAATCGATTTTGTAGAGATGATGTTCCATGTTCTGCTCCTTGGGAAGTTATAGCTGCTGATTTATTCTTACATAAAAACTGGTACTTAATAGTAACTGATTACTATTCGAGATTTTTTGAAATTTTTGAATTATCCTCTTTAAATGAAAAGACAATCATTAGTAAAATCAAAGAACTGTTTTCTAGGTATGGAATATGTAAAGTTTTTAAATCGGATAATGGTCCTCAATTTAAACAAGAATTTAAGAGATTTTCTGATGAATATCATTTTACTCATATAACATCCTCGCCCTATTACAGCCAATCTAATGGCCTAGCAGAAAATGCTGTTAAGATTGCAAAAAATTTATTAAAGAAAAATGAAAATAACATTGATAAAGCTTTGCTTGAATATAGATCTACACCTCTGGAAAATGGATTTAGTCCAGCAGAACTATTAATGGGTAGAAAATTGAGAACATTTTTGCCGGTTTCACCTGTTGACTTACCTGTAAAACAAAATGATATTTTTGTTAAAAAGGAAAAAGAAATTAAAGACAGACAGGAATTTTATTATAATAAAAGACATAGAACTCAAAGATTATCCGATTTAAAGATTGGTGATAGGGTATGGATAACTGATCTGAGATCATATGGTGTTATAATTAATATTTTACCATATAGATCATATCTTGTAAAAAATAATAGAGGGGAGTATAGAAGAAATAGGTGGCATCTAATACCAGCTCCTTATTATAAAAACAATATTGTAGAAAATAATTTGGATACGTTCGAAACATTGACTCCTGCCAATTGTACTCAGGATCCGAATAATACTTGTAACCAAAATACTTGTCCTACTCAAGATCCAAATAATACTTGTAACCAAACTACTTGTCCTACTCAGGATCCAAATAATACTTGTAACCCAACTTCCACAGAAGGGGTAGAAGCCAATATAAATACAGGAAGGTCTATCCGAGAAAGGAGAAGACCTGCTTGGCTAGATGATTATGTCACACTATAACTATTGTCTTAGGTTTATTCTTAGTTATGTAATTTAAGCATACCTAAAGTAAATGTAACTTAAAGTAGTTTAAGCATAAAGTAAATGTAACTTAAAGTAGTTTAAGCATAAAGTAAATGTTACTTAAAGTAGTTTTAGCATAAAGAAAATGTAACTTAGATTTTCACATTTTTAACTTTGATTTAAATAAAGAAAATCATCTTGAAGCGAGGGATGTGCTGTAATTGTTGGTCTGTGACAGCTGACAGTGACGTTTGGGCTTTTCGCGCCTCTGGGGGAATGCCTCTCTCTCTACGAGCACGAGCGCTTCAAGATGGTTGCTCTGCTGTAAGACTGTCTTTTCATTGAATAACAAACATCCTACACTACACTAACAAATTTTTTGAATTTATTATGATCACTAACAATTGTTATTTTTTCTTTTCAGACGATGCAAAACTCCGATATGAACATCATGCTTCCCCAGTTCACCTATGATCCCTGGGAGGGATTAACACAAGCTTGTTCAGATGTCCTGGGACAAGTTGGTGAGCCTCAAACCTCCCGGGAAAAGAGGGTTAGGCGGCAGACTGAGCAACCGGCAAGAAAGAAGGCACGTAGTACTGCAAAGTCCTACGTCATTTCCAAGGAGCGAACTAAAGGTTTACGGCTTATACAAATAAGAGTGTGTGACCTGACGAGTGAGCCTTCCGCTTCAACAGCATGCGATCCGGATGACAGTGAAAGTGATNATGGTTTCATTTAATTTATTTAAACCAGGTTACCTATAACAATATTTTTTCGTTAATTTATGAAAATATCAAATTAGCCCGTAATCCTTAATCCTGATACATAAAGTTAGCCTATTAATTTAACACAGGTACGACTGTACTCAGTGTTGCACTATCAAATGCAATTGACGCGCCTCTATGCCAGGGTTTTTATGTTCCTGGTCAGGCTATACATTTAGTTTACGGTATACACGATTGGCGAGTGTGCGGCAGTTGGAATAAACTATTGAAGGTAACGGACGTGCGTTTAATTTAACAGTGGCGAACGCGGAAAAAAAAAAAGTGAACTTGTTGTTTTGGACGGATTGCAGTAAACTTAAGTTGTGCATAAAATGTCGGTTGGACAAATGCGCGAGTTTGACGTGAGATCGGGTAACTGGTCAAGTTACGTGGAAAGACTCGAAATGTACTTTATAGTAAACAAAGTGGTGGATGAATTTAAACTACCGACGTTAATTTCGGTTATGGGAGAGGAAGCTTACGACTTATTATCTACACTGGCCAGTCCTCAGAAACCGTCTGTGTTGACCTTTAGACGAGCAGTGGAGCTATTATCTGCTCATCTTCAGCCAAAACCGTCAGTACTGGCCGAACGGTATAAGTTTCGGCAACGGCGGCAGCTTGTTGATGAAACAATTGCTGATTACGTCACAGAATTAAAAAAGTTATCGAAATACTGTGAATTCAATTCCACATTAGACGAAAACCTTCGGGATCAGTTGGTTTGTGGTTTGAAAAGCGAAGTAATTAGACAGCGCTTATTCTCAGAGGAAGGTATAACTTATAATCGGGCGATAGCTTTGGCATTATCGTTGGAAGCCGCCGAACGCGATGCAAGTGCGGTGGAACGACCGGAAATAACGGAAGGAGTACATAAGTTGTCCTTAGAGGAATGTCCAAAATGCGGAGACAAAAGACATAAGGCTATAAATTGTGTCTACAAGGATTACGTGTGCAGTTGGTGTCATGAGATCGGCCACTTAAGAAGGATGTGTCCTAAAAAACAAGCACAAACGGCGGAATCAGCCGGTGGTTATCATAATACTCGATCACGCGGCGGGCGCATGGGCGCAGGGCGCGGAGCCGGGCGGGCCCGCGGATGGCGCGGCGCGCGCGGGCAGCGCGGGGCAGCGCGGGGGAGTCAGCAGCGGACCCCTCTACACCTGATGAGCGAGCAGGACGGCGACTACGATAACGAAGTTCATGAAGAGGACTCCAGCGAAAATATGTATCAAATGTCATTAAGTAACTATAAGCCGGTGCGTATAAAAATTAAAGTTCAAAATTGTTTACTAGACATGGAAGTTGATACTGGTTCCGCCTTATCGTGCATAAGCAAAAACACTTATAATGAAATGTTTAGTAACCTACAGTTGATTCCTTGTTCTTTGAATATCAAATTTTATGATGGTTCTATTATTCAACCGATTGGGTTTATAGAAACAATTGTCGAGTATGATAGGGTCGTTAAAAAATTAGATTTATATGTCCTAAATAAAGGTACGACGAATTTGTTGGGTCGGCAGTGGTTAGCTGAATTGAAAATACCTATAACTATAACTGAAGGCTCATTCCAAAATAATTACATAGCGGATAATAAACTGGAGGATAATAAAATAATTCACGAAATTATTTCTAGGCATAGAACCCTGTTCGACGGCACACTGGGAAAGTACACGGGAGGCTCGGCCGAGCTGTGTGTGCGCGAGGGCGCGCAGCCCATTTTTTGCCGCGCGCGGCCGCTCCCGTACGCGCTGCGCGAGCGCGTCGACGCGGAGCTCGACTCGATGCTGAGCGCCGGCGTCATTGAGCCGGTGGAGCACTCGGACTGGGCCACGCCACTGGTCGTAGTACGCAAGCCAGATGGTGGGTTAAGACTTTGTGCGGATTTTAAGGTAACTCTTAACAAAGTTTTAGAAGTTGATCGATTTCCGGTTCCAAAAGTGGAGGATTTATTTAGTGATCTCAGCGGAAACAATTTTTTTACCAAGCTAGACCTATCGCAAGCCTATAATCAGGTTTTATTATCAGAATGCTCAAAAAAATTCACCGTAATTAATACACATAGAGGATTATATAAATATAATCGCCTAGTTTACGGGTTATCTTCTAGCCCGGGTATCTTTCAAAAAATTATGATGGATATGTTTAAAAACGTTAAAAATGTTGTTGTTTTCTATGACGATATTCTGATCAGAAATTCTAATTTGGACTGTCATTTAAAAACGATAAAACAAGTACTCGATATTTTGGAGCAAAACGGGTTAAAAATAAAAAAAAATAAATGCAGTTTTCTGGCAAAAGAAGTAAAATATTTAGGATTTATTATTGATCGAAACGGCGTCCGAGTAGACCCGGAAAAAGTGGAAGCAATCACCTGTATGCCCCACCCTAATAATGTCAGTGAATTAAAATCGTTTATTGGAATGGTAATTTTTTATGGTAAATTTATAAAAAATTTAAGCGTGCATTTATCACCACTTTATGCATTATTAAAAAAAGGCAAACACTGGAGGTGGGGAACAGAACAAAACACAGCTTTTATTAATGTAAAAAAACTATTGTGTAGTACCACGGCTTTAGCACATTTTGACATGAAATGCGAGTCCATATTAACTGTGGACGCGAGCGCGAAGGGCCTCGGCGCGGTGCTGGCGCAGCGCGCGCCCGACGCCGGCGCTCCCGAGCGGGTGGTGGCCTTCGCGTCGCGCGCTCTCACGCAACATGAATTGAACTATAGTCAAATTCACAAAGAGGCTTTAGCGATAGTTTATGCAGTTGAGAAATTTCATAATTATCTTTATGGCAGAAAATTCGTGCTCCGAACGGACCATAAGCCTCTTGTCAGTATTTTCGGTCCCAACATAGGTATTCCAAACGCAGCAGCAAGCAGACTGCAACGCTGGGCTATAAAATTATCTGCTTATGACTTTACAATTGAGTATGTTAGAACCGACAAAAACACGGCGGATGTGCTATCACGTTTAATTAAATCTCAGAAAAATGAAGTTACATCTTTAGAGGTTGACTTACCGGAGCAGACATACCTACATTTTTCTTCAGAAGCTCTGCTATTAGACAATAATGTTTTAAAGAAGGAGACTAGCCGAGATCCGATTTTATCCCGCGTTTTAAGTTTTATACTAGACGGTTGGCCAGCAGAGGTCGAAATAAAAGAATTAAAACCTTATTTTAATAGAAGGAAAGAACTGTATTCAGAACTGGGCTGTATCATGTGGGGCCATCGCGTAGTTATACCATCTACTTGCAGAAACAAAGTAATAGCGGAGCTCCATGATTCGCATATGGGTATTGTGAAAACGAAATCGTTAGCCCGTAGCTATGCTTGGTGGCCGGGGATCGACGAGGCGGTGGAGGCGGAGTGCCGCGCGTGCACGGTGTGCGCCGCCACCGCCGACGCGCCGCCGGGGCAGGCGCCCCGTTCGTGGCCTTGGCCTTCACGCCCTTGGTCAAGGCTCCATTTAGATTTTCTAGGTCCCATAGGCGGACTAACTTATTTAGTGGTGGTAGATTCATGCTCGAAATGGATAGAAGCAATAAGAATGAAAAAGACAACAGCAGGTGAAGTAATATCAGTACTCAGGGATCTGTGGTCGAGGTTTGGCCTTCCTAGGCAGACGGTTAGCGATAATGGGCCCCCGTTTACGAGTTCCGAATTTAGGAATTTTTTAAGTCACAATGGTATTGAACACATTTTCTCAGCGCCTTACCATCCGGCCTCCAATGGTGCTGCGGAAAATGCGGTTAAAACCTGCAAAAGGGTGATTAAAAAAGCATTTAAACTAAAATTGGACGTACAAACGGCATTGAGTAGATTTCTTTTAGCGTATAGAAATACAGAACACTGTACTACCGGTGATAGTCCAGCAAAAATTTTACAAGGGCGTAGTTTACGTATGAGACTAGATAATCTAAAACCGGAAAGAGCTTCTCGAGTCGCGGCGCAGCAGGCTCGCAGTGAACGGGCCGCGGGCGGGGCGCGGCGCCAGCTTCAGCCCGGCGCGCTGGTGTGGTACCGAGAGTACAGGGGCTCGGACAAATGGGCAGCCGGGACAATCGTCAAAGAATTGGGAAACAGCGATTACTGTGTAAGATCAACTTTTGGAACTGAGATGCACAGGCACATCGATCAACTCAAACTAAGAACGACAAAAAGTGACCTTAAAATTACTAATAAAGTACCTTTAGATGCCCTAAAACAAAAATTAGAAATTAATAAACAGTCTCGTTTGTCTCTGGCAGCGTCTATGACCGGTGGTGAGGAGTCAGATAAGGGTGAATGCGCGGCAACGCTGCCACCTACGGATATGAATCGCTCGCCCCTGAGAAACATTGATCACACAGCATCAGATTCAGTGGCACGAGAGGCCAGCGATTCTACAGCCGTAGCCTCCGTGTGCGAGCCTAGTGTGTTGGAGGAAAGGGAAGATAATAATATTAACAAAATACCACTTAACCGCCCTATACGAAGTCGTAAACCACCAGTTAGGTTTGGGTTTGAAGAAATAGATTAAAAATAATATTTGTAACAAGCTTTTGCCCGCTGCTTCACCCGCGTGAAATTTGGTTTGTCACGGATCGTCATAAATTATATACTGTATAATTGCCTATATGTTACTGGGTTATAAACAATAATACTGTAGAGTTTCATCAAGATCCGTTCAGTAATTTAGCGTGAAAGGGTAACAAACATCCAGACATCCGAACATCCAAATTTTCGCATTTATAATATTATTATTACGATAGGATTAAGATATAGGATTCCATTCATAGTACCTATGGTATTTAAACTGTAGTACAAGTTAAGCTTATAGTAAGGTAACTTGTGTATTGTTAATCTTTACAGTTAGTTTAAGTAACTTGTGTATTGTTATATCTTTAAGGTTAATATAAGTAATTTGTGTATTGCTAAATCTTTAAGGTTAGTTAAGTAACTTGTGTATTGTTAAATTAGGGGTGGAGGTGTGATGTATGCTTATACATTTAGTTTACGGTATACACGATTGGCGAGTGTGCGGCAGTTGGAATAAACTATTGAAGGTAACGGACGTGCGTTTAATTTAACAGTTACTTTACGATTTAATTCGATATAACTACCTACATATTAGAGTGTGAGAGAAAGGGAAAGAGTTTGTGTGTGTGTGTGTGTGTGTGTGTGTGTGTGTGTGTGTGTGTGAGAGAGAGAGAGAGAGAGAGAGAGATAAAGAGAGAGAGAGAGAGAGAGAAGAGCAAAAATGGGTGTAATGATTTATTTTAAAGTAAATGTTCATAATGTCCGCCGTTGACCTGAATGCACATTCGACAACGACGCAAAAAAAATCTTCGTAANCGGATTTGATTTTCTGAAATCATTAACTACATGGATACTCCTACCGAATGGCAAATTAATTAAATGATAATTAAAAGTTTCTCACATACATTGTTTTGCTTTTGAATAGAGACAAGGATAAATGCTTTTAAGTTTAAGGTCATCAAATTTGTTAGTCCGTACCTAACGCCTGATAGTTCTTAATTGTTCCGTGATCAAACACGTGTAAACCTGAAACATCTGTAACTTAATAGTTATGTACTTGTAATTCAATAATTATATTGGTGATGCCGATATAGTTAATTGCACGTATTACATTCCCTAGATAAGGATCAGTTGTAAAATATGAAATAACATTTTAATGGCAGATCAGAGCAGTGATCGAGTCATGACACGCGAGGCGATAATGACGCCATTAAGGTCTGTTCCGAGTGAGCGCGCGCCTTTACCTGCGCGAGCGCATCCGGTGCATGCTTCCTGGGTTTTTGCGCCGGGCAATGACCCGATCTGTGCTGAGACGTCAACACTAGAGGACTAGCCTTCGCTCTTGAGTAGCAATTTAACTGAAAAATGCTCTCAGGATCCTATGAATAATAATAAATAAATAGATATCCTTGGATATTTTTACACTGCGCCTCTAGTCCCAAACTAAGCAAAGCAGGTAGTACTATGGGTACTAGACAACGGATATTTTATAAACATCTTAATTACTTTTTTTTGTAAATACATAAGTACTTACATATTATACTTACATATTAACGGTGGGCCCTCGATACCAGGCGACCTCGAGGTGAATATAGCCTTACTCCGGCATGCGGGGCTCTGCTGGAGTGGACCTACTTTCCCTAGCTACTCGTGGGACCAACATGAATAAATGCTCTCCCAAAAAAAGTAACGNGAGAAGACAGAATTGGCGAAACACAATTCCAATCTGGTCAGCAAAAATGTCGATGTCGGTGTGCTGAGCGAGCAAGTCCCCAACGAGGCGCAGAGCTCGGGCGGTGGGCGCGTGCGCGGCGCGCTGCGTGCGCGTTTCGGGGCGCGCTAGCAGACACGGCGGGCGGCGCGGCGCAGTTTGCACTCCCGAGGCGTCCCGAGGTATGTTCCTTGGATTCCTTGGAACCAGTAGACATAGCCTCTCCAAGACAGATGGACTCTCAATAACATTCCTTATAATTAGGAGATAATGCTTTAGGAGGAGTATAATGCCCGTTTTCACCATCGATCCCTTAAGCGTTTGCTTTCAAATATCACTTTGGTTAAAAGATCGCCTAAACTGCCCACTAACCTAAGTTCGTTTTCACCATGCTATAGTAAACCTAAGTAGGGACTCTTTTGTCAGGTGGCGTTTCTTCGTGCGCCTAGTGACGTTTGAAAAACCGGTATTTTCCGATAAAATATTTTATTGGGAATATCTTACGTATTTCACAGAAACAAATGAAATAAAAGTAAAACTAAGAAATAGTTGACCAAAACTGATGTCTTTTTGTATTTTTGAGTGAAGTTAAAGACAAAAAAGATATTTGGGCTATTATGTAATCTGTGGTTTGGGTGCATAATCCTTTGCCTTAAAAAAAGTAAATGTCAAGATGACTGCTGCACCACAATAAATGAAAATAAAAATGTACATATTGATTTTGATAGATATTTTGTTCAGTTCTGTGTGTAGTTTTGTGCGATTTAACGATAAAAACGACAATGGAAAAAAGTTTTTTTTTAATTTTTTTATTCTCTTTTTCACTACAATCTGTTGCCTTGCTGGAACATTGAGTAGTATATTTGTTGGGATATGTCATGTCTTGCTCGGTATGTGGCCTGTGTCACATCCTACTTCACTTTATTGGGTTTTAAGTGTGTCCTGTGGAGTTTTTCGTTTCAGTCTACGATGTGTCTGGGTTTCGTCCATCAGAGGTCTCGCCTAGGGGTTGGTTGTCACAAATGAACAGCTGCATCATGACCTACAAATCAACATAGTCAGTCAGGAAATTGTACATCATACAAAATCGTACAAAAAACGGATCACAAACCACCCCAACCCCTTGGCGAGACCTCTGATGAAAAAAGAAATGAAGCAAAATTTTTCCCTCAAGGAAAAAGATAAATTGGTTATAATTTTACTTGCCCACAAGGATACTGAACGAGCACGTCAGCATCGACCGCGACCTACGTGCTAGCCGACTGGCCCATGAACCCTCAACGTGCACCGTAGGCACTCTACACCGACGGCACATTGGACTGGACACATTGAATTGTGTAAATCTTGAATATTATATAGCAATAGCATAGCAGTAATAAACCAGATATCAACCGTCCGCGTTGTGTTTCATTTACCCCCACTGAGGCCAAGAAAGCCGTAGTGCAGCCCTCCTTCCTATCAAATCTTTATTATATCTAATTATAAGGTATTGTAAGGGCTCTAGGGACTACAAACGAAGCCAGAAATACAGTGTGTCCGGGCATGTAGTGATCAAACTTTAAGGGCGAAATCTAGGGACAATTTTATCGATAGAAATACTTCAAATTTGGGGCTTGACCCATTTATTGCAAAATTACAAGGATTTAAGTTTTTAATTTTTAGTTTTCACCTCTTCCTTCAAAAACAAGTGAAAGCGTGGGTAGCATAACATTAATAAGCAAATATTTTATATCATGCGATAGCCAATAAAATTATCTATTAATAGAAGTAAAAAACAAACACAAGTTTGATACATTTTAAAGGAGTTAGAATAGATTTAATTAGAAAAAAACATGACTTTTTTCACAAATTTTTCAGTTATTTTCCAACACAAGAAAAACCAGGTCGTTAAGGTATGTTTTATTTGCATTGTATTTTTAGTATTTGAGCTATTCTACAATTTCTTAGGGGTGTCAGTTCGAGTTACCTCCGCGTAAAGACTGGGTTGTTACTGAATCCACTCTGACATGTCAGAAGGGATATAGTAGCGCCTGTTGCGGTTCATCCTGGGCAACGTCAGATAGTGCTGCATTGAAATCCCATAATGGGNGAAAAAAACAGTCTGCATTAAATATTAATAAAAATTGCTGAAAATGTTATATAAGAATCTATTGTCATAATAATTTACTTCCTTCAAAAACACATTAAACCAAATGTAAAATAAAACGTTTTATATTAATAATGCAGGTATCTTAAATTGACATTAATTTATAGATTAGGCTGTCTCCAAATTCGCAGAAGCTCAATGGATTGATGTTATCAATTCCACTGAAAACATTAATTAGTAGTCGGCAGATAATTAATTAATTGGCGACTGATAAGCGGCGCCCAGGACAAACAACTTGGAACCCTATCTGACGGGTAGAGTGACCAAATTCTTGAAAATGACTGGAATTTGTTTGGCTTGGCGTGAATTGAATATAATTTGAACTATTTACCTGCTTTGATATTTCAAAGCAGGTAAATAGTTAAACTTACCTATTGGTAAGTTTTGCTTAAGACATGATTTTGCTAAGTTAAATAAATCCAAAATTGGACTGTTTGCAGGAGGATCACAATTTTTGCAAGAGAAGTGGTGATTCCATTCACAGGTAAACGAAGAGATTTTCGATAAGAATATCAAGTATTTGGTTCGAAGTGCATTTTAGTTGGCACACTTCCTGTTATGACTACAGGTTCATATAACCTGTCATGTAATAGTTCAAATATAAGTTGAATGGAAGGAATACAATTAAATGGCCCAATTTGGTTTATTTGATAAAACTAGAAAATTGCTACAAATGATTTAACGGTAGTACCAATTACAGTATTATAAAAGTAACAAATTTATGGATGCTAGATCATAATTTTGAGGAAACAAAATTGTATAGACTGTCCGTCTACTCGCAATCAGTTGGTCACCCTGAAGGCGGACGGCCGGGTCCTATATTAATTGCTGGATGATCATCTAATGCGTTTACCCGGGTTTGTTTGCTTGTCAAAGTGTAACAGATACCCAATTACTCATCTAAAAGCCACATTTAACAGTAAAAGTCACGTTTAAAGCACAAATAATATTCAAAATATCGGTTTCAAGTAGGTAAATAAAATATTGTCTTTCAATAATTTTGATATTTCAAGGTTTCAATTACATAGGACTTTTTAATATTTAATCAAGGTAGATAGATAACTTTTAATATCTCCCATGAATAAATCGTAACACTGTTTAAAAAAATGTGAAAATAGGCAACAAATCTCATACATAAAATTGCCATTCAATGTCTGTCTAATTTATTCTTTCCCAATCAGCGAGTTGCATCACTTGCATACATAACGGCGCATTGTGCGAGTTATTACCTTCGCGGGAAAATCTGCATCCCTTCATTACGGTGTTCTTTAATTACATTTGCAATTCTCTTCCTGAATTTTATGACAGAATAAATTAATAAGAAAAGCACTTCATTTTGTACCTCTCCTTTTGTGCGCTGACGGAACAATATTGGTGTCAGTTATAAAAAAAAAAGGGACGACGACATAGCTAGCTAAAAAATTAAATACACAGTTCAAAACACCAAACCTGCTCTAGATTTAAAAATCTCTAAGGAGTGTTACTGGAAGAAAAAATATTTAAAAATACAATCCAGCGTCTTGGCCCGTGGACAAAGCTAAAAGTGGGCCAAGTCACTGGAAAACTCAGAAAATAACCGAAAACTTAAGTGATCAAAAACAAATGTTCACAGTTTAGGCACAGTAGATAAAATATAGGTGTTTTACTAGAATGCGAAAGGTATAATCTACGTCATAGTACCACTAAAATAAATACTAATCCTGATGTAGTCTGCCGTGCCAAGGGTCGACTTCGCAACGTTTCACTATGATAAGTCTCTATTCTCTCTTTTACTCCTGCCTATAGGTCGAGAGAGAGATACTCGTAGACCAGGGTTCGAAATTATCAAGATAATTACCGATAATTGTCGGATAATTATCAACAGTATAAGATACATTTGTCATATTGTTACATAAGAAATTCTGATTGCTAATGTTGTTTTATGTTTTTGGTTGCTGATTGTTGTCAAGTTATCCACCGCTAGTCGCATAAAGCTTGGAAAATAGATAATTATTTTGACAACAGATAACTAGTGATCATTGTGGAGTTAAATAGATAGGTTTTACAACAATCTATGTTGTTTAACGCCCACCATTAGACGCAAATGCGGAAATACACGTTCATAAACTTCGAATACAGTATCTTTTATTATCACGATAATTATCATGATAATTATCGTGATAATTATCCTTTCGAACCCTGTCGTAGACAGACTGCCTATAATATTCTTTAGGACGTAAATAATGTGTTTCTAGTCATCAATTCAGCTTCTGAATGTCCACTTAAGGTGACTGAGTTTCTTTCGCCACTTTTTCTCAGCACCAGCCCATAATGTTGTCCCGAAGTGGTGGTAAGCTATATTTGGGACGTGTATAAGCGCCCTGCCGCTACCAATGAAAGCATTGAATAGAATAGAATAGAAAACTTTTTATTTATATTGGGGGAGGCCTAGCAGTGGACATCCTATGGCTGCAATGATGATGATGATGATGACGATGATGATGATGATAGGCGCCCTGGAAAGGGCTTACCGAATACTTTAATTTTAATAATTGACTTTGACCACTCCTGGCCGTAATCTCCACTAAGGAGCGGTACAAACTAGTCACTGGCAGCTGAAACTTTAGTCTTCTATGAAATAAATTATAATGTCTATTGTGTCTCAATAGAGTTCGGTTTACAGAATACACCCCCACCCAAATTACGGCCACATAACTATACCACGGGCGGGCGCGCACCGATGTATTGTAACTGCACAGTTTATGCGCCCTGCACACTGTGATGTGTGTACTATACGTAGTACACACTACTCAGCCTAGCAATATGTGGGGAGCTTTAGGCCTCTATACGGAGAATCTGGGCCGGATTTAATACTGAATGCCTAGCATAGCAGTGAATTTTCCTAGCTAGTGACATTGTAAATAAGCCGTTGTAAGACAAAAAGCAAAATGTCTTTTTAGAATCTATGTATTTAAAGTAAGTACAGCAAAAATTTAACATATTTTTATACATTGTTTTATGACTTGAACCGTTGAACGTTGGAAAGAATTGTCCCCGTTGCAGGTGTTGTCTTCCGTCTAGAGGTCGCTTCAGTCAAAATTGTGGGACTAAGTAAATAAAAAGATCGGACGCACCTGCTCCGCAAACTTTTAGCTATCAATTACATTTTCTCTTAGAAGCATAATTGTTTAAGTCTAGAAAAATTATAAAGTAACTACAATTAAGAACTAAGTTCATCTCTCTAAATAAAATAAACATTGCGTAGAAATAGGTACACCAAATGTTTTGAACTCGTTATATTACGAAAGATTGCGAAATATTACATCGACGAGACGTCATTATGTTGGCGTCTCCTAGCACACTGCAAAAGTAATAAAATAATCCTAATTCAAAGTTTAAAATATCGTTATGATAATTTATTCATGGATTCGCCACACTACACATTGAGTGCATCCTTAACCACCCCCCCTGAGGGTACCGTGCAGGTCCGCACAGGACCACAACGGGTCAACCCTCCTTCCACCCCCTCAACCTCCACTTCCACATTNGTCGACCCAAAAAAAAGATAAAAAAATTTAAAGCCTACTAGGTCATACAATTTGAAAAAATCACAAAATTAACGATTACTTCTAAACTATGAAAAATCGTAAAACATACATGGGGGTGAAATCGATAGGTCTAGTCCTCACCTATCACCTGCCTTCGGCTTGACACCTTACAAGAAACACCCTGTTTAAAGAGAGGTCGTTCGTATATAAAAGAGAATTAATGCAAGTAGGAAAAGGGACACGTAGGGTCAGTAAGGAAGATATAAAAGAGGAGCGGTCATATTTAGGGCATGAAAATAGACAATGGTTTAGGTCACCCACTTCATTTGCGTCTCCACAGTCGCATTTGTCGCTGTTTACAATCTTTAATCTAGCCAAATGAAAGGGGAGGCAAACATGACCCAGTCGCATACGAATGAGGCTACTAGTCCCTGCCTTATCCAGCTTCAGTTTGAAAAACCACGGTTTGAGAGGAACATGATTGACGTATTATGAGTATTATAGATGACCCAAGCTGAACTGTCCCACCAAACTCAATGACAGGGGGGCGCTACCATCGTTCAACTATATGGTTTCCAACATGGCAAAAATCTGAACCAGCGATCCGGTATTGACGGTGGCGCCCCACTGTCAATGTCATCGATAGGACAGTTCACTATTTTGGAACTATATGACGTTGTACAAATACGTTTAGAAATACATAAACTTGATCTATGAACTTGATAACCTGTAGTCTTGCTTGTACTGCTTCACATTTCAGAACGAAATCTTAGTTGTCAGTCAAACAATTGTGATTTTTGTTGTTGTGGTTTTTGTCAAAAAATCATAAAATTGTTTTGCGGGACTTTATTACAATTTAAGCAAGTTATTTGTATTTAAAAAACGTGAATTTACTTAGCAATAGCAGAAAGATGTCAAGTGCGGCGGCAAAAAAGCGCTTCAGAGCTCTGAGAGAGCTGGGAGTGGAGCCGATTTTGGCTTCAACACTGGCAGTTAAGAGCTTCGCTGAGCTGAAGCAGATGGGGTACAAGTTCTTCTCGCAACCTGAATCTGGGCGCAAACCGGTAAAACGGGTTCGCTCGGAGGAGGAATCGCCAAAGGGACATATTACCAAAGTCCCAAAGGTGAGTGAGACTTTAAACACCTCAACCACCGTAGCCTTCAGCGAGGCCGTACGCTTAATCCGGGTCGGCATAAAAGACTCCAAGTCCCTGATGACTAATACACAACTGGAGTCGCTGCGCAATACCATCCTGCAAAGCATTGCCAAATCCGGAAGGGGCGAAGGGCCTAAATTCGTGGGCTGCTCCTTTATGCCAGGCTGGCTCCTCATCACGTGTGAGGACGAGCGCTCAAAAACCTGGCTTGACAATATAATCCCCCTCCTCAAACCGTGGCCGGAAGCAAGACTTGTTCTCTTGAACGAGTCTGAAACCCAAAAACCTAATGTGATTGTGGAGGTATACATTCCGATCTCTGAGGCCAGCAGCATAACGCGGGCCTTAGAACTCTTCGGTGCTCAGAATGAGGGTCTGAACACCGAGCACTGGAAAGTCCTTAACACGAAGGTGGACAAGGGAGGTCTAACTCTGACCGTATCCCTAGACGACCACTCGTTTGAGGCCCTAAAGATGACGGACCTAAAGGCCAACATTGGCTTCAGAAAGGTCCAGTTCAGAGTCAAGGGCCCCATACAGGATTCCAAGCCCTCTGCTGAACCCGCGACCACCACCTCTACTCCCGTTCCCACATCCGCAACCACCCCTCCTGAGGGTACCGTGCAGGTCCTCATAGGAACACAACGGGTCAACCCTCCCTCCACCCCCTCCTCACTCCCAAACAGGGGAAGGGGAACGCGGTTTTCCCCCTACAGGGGGACCACAAGGGGCGCACATCCGCCCAGAGGAATCGGGCAGCACAGGGGACCGTACCGAGGGCGGCGGGGCACACAAGGGCTCCGCGGCTCCCAAGCACATTAGTCCCCACCAACCTCATGGGATGGCGGTACTACAGGCCAACCTACACCACGCTATCGCAGCCTCTGCGGTCACAGAAAAGATCTTCAGCGAAGGTGGCCTGGACATCGCCGTCAAGAACCATGGATAAACGCCGACTCCATGGTAGCCGGTCTGAGACGCTCTGGTAAGATTGTCGTATGCGAAAAAGGCCGCAAACCTAGGGCTTGTATCGTGTTTAACAAAAATACTAACTTCTTACCTGTTCCAGAACTTTGCAGCGAAGATACTGTTACCGCGTACGTAGAAGTCAAAGGGCCGAACAGGTCCAAAGTACACTTCTGCTCGGTATATCTTCCTGGAGATAAGCAAGACCCCACTGAAGAACTGACTAACGTCCTGGAATACTCTAGAAGACAAAAGTCGGCACTGATAGTGGGATGCGATGCTAACGCCTACCAAACCGTCTTGGGAAGCTCGAATGTACTGGGAAATACCAACAAAGTAACGCTTACATGGGTACTAGGACATTCGAATATAGAAGGAAACGAAGTAGCAGATGAACTCGCCAGAGATGGAGCCGATAGCCCTCAAATCGGCGTAGAACCGTTCAGTGGCATCACTGAACAACGAGCCACCACGCTACTAACCGCCCTCTGCGAACAAGAGGCTATTGAGTGGTGGAAGTCTACATCGGGACAAAAACACTCAAAAGCACTCATTCAGGGATATAGCAACAAAGTAACTAAGGAACTCTTAAAGTTCAAAAGATACAAAGCTTGTGCACAGTGACTAGATACTAACCAGCCACTGCAAACTAAACAAACACAAATCAAACATAAACACGACCGAAGAAACTCTGTGCAGATTCTGCCATACAGAAGAAGAAACGGCCATGTATGTTCTCTGCTCATGCGGCCCGCTTATGAGCAAAAGAAGTATCCATCTCGGGCGACACAATATCATGCACCCGGATAAGATAGCAGATATCACGCTCCAAAGAATCTAGAAATATATAGACTCAACAGGACTAAGCAGTGAACTCTAAAGACAAGGGCTGCCACAATAGATCAAACCTGGTCGAGCTGGCGGAAATGAAGGCCAAAAAACCAATAATAATAATAGCAATATTCATAGCGTCTACGCCAATTTAAACTTTACCTTATTTCATACATGAAATTATTATTTTTTTCGCATAAACTAACAGCATAAAAAAGTTTATAAAATAATGTTAAAAACAGAAATTAAAAGTGAATACGATACTGCTATGCAGCCCCAGTGCCGTGCGTGTCTTAGTTTAAGTAGAAAATTAATTCCAATAGGAGAATACAGTCGTATTTACTGCAAATTACTATTAGAAAATCAATATGAGGTGATTATAAACTTTTAATTAATTTAGTCTTTCTTTGACGCATCTATCTATCCTTTAGTTATCCACTATCTATCCTTTAGTTATTCACACTATCTATCCTTCAGTTATTCACACTATCTATCCTTTAGTTATTCACACTATCTATCCTTTAGTTATCCACTATCTGTCCTTTATTTATTCACACTATCTATCCTTTAGTTATTCACACTATCTTTCCTTTAGTTATCCACTATCTATCCTTTACTTATTCACACTATCTATCCTTTAGTTATTCACACTATCTTTCCTTTAGTTATCCACTATATATTCTTTAGTTATTCACACTATCTATCCTTAGTTATTCACACTATCCATCCTTTAGTTATTCACACTATCTTTCCTTTAGTTATCCACTATCTATCCTTTAGTTATTCACACTATCTATCCTTTAGTTATCGACTATCTATCCTTTAGTTATCCACTATCTATCCCTTAGTTATTCACACTATCCTTTAGTTATCCACTACCTATCCTTTAGTTAACCACTTTCTTACGAAGCTTAGATTTCTAGATTGCATGAATTATTTACACATGAAAAATATTTTCCCTTCCCTTTTACATTTAAACAACTATCATCCCCCTAAGTTGTCTGGAAGAGATCGCTTCATAGCGATAAGACTGTCTAAATTATGCATTCTCCATTTGTGTATTTTTCTTTTCTTGTTTTGTGTGATGTAAAATAAAGTGTTTATCTTTAATTTTTTACCTCAGTTCCCTTCATCAATTGTTGATTTGTTTAAAATTGTTATTTTCTAGTCTATTCTGCCCTCTGAAGACATACAGCTATGTTGGGAATGCATCGGCCAACTGAGGAAACTTACACAATTCCAACGTCAGGTCCGAAAGGCAAACAATATGATTCAAACGTGCCAGGTGAGTTCAACATTTCAATTTAAAAAGTTTTCCTCTAATAAGTAACTTATCAATAATTATTTATTACTAAACTCTCCAATTTGAAGCTAGAAAGAGCTTAGTTTTATCAAACCCTTATTCTTCAATTATTCACATTAAAAATATTGATTTTCTTTTCGAACTTCATTTCCTGCTTACACACAGACAGTATATATGGACAGTAAAAGAAAGAATATTATATTGCATAAAATTTTCTACAATTTGGTTGGTTACAGAATTTCATGTTCGGCACCCTTTCAAATCTAACAACAGTCATCATGAACGATACATACCCTAATATCATCTATGTAAACAATACTAACATAGAAAATGATGTAGATAATGAAAATATCAATCATAAAGACGAATGTGATAGTGTTAATAATGATAATGATGCATTTAATGACGATAATGATTCATTTTTTAAAGATAATGATAGTAAAGTTGACATCAAAGTTGATAATACAGTTTTAAATGATACTGTGAACGAGAAAAAAGAAGTAAATATTGATAATCAGAACGAAATTAAAAGAAAAGTGAAATACAGAAATAAGTGGGCAGAGAAGAGAGCTCGCCTAAATAAGAAACCTAAATTCAAAGTTCTTACTTACAAAGAACTGACGGTCGATAAGTATTTTAGAAGAGAACAGATAGATGTAGAGACTTCCATGAAAGAAAGAGACGGTGATGGTTTTGTAAAGGGTATGTGTGGAAAATGTGGAATAACATTGAAAGATGAGGGTATGCTGTTGAAACATACATGCCATAAAAAGGTCAGTATAAAATAGTAACTACAAACATCGAGCTAACTGCGCACCTCAGCCAACAGGTGCGCAGTTAATTCGACTGGGTTGTACAGCACGGCTAACACGAAACACTTTAGAGTTCGAATCGATTGCGTATTTAAATTTCCATCAAAAGATTTAGTACGAAAACTACAACAGCGCCCTTGTGAACGTGGCTTAAACTAAAGTGAACTTAGTATGAGTAATGGTCGCACGAAACTTATTTTGAGAATCAAAATTGTCACGTTGTCATTCAATTCGAAGGTAGAGTATCAAATTTTGTCGAATACGCAAACGATTCGAAGACGAAAGTTGTTCATGCTAAAGGTATGGGTATATCCCTCATAAAAATTGATGTGTTTTAGGGCTCCTTTCTCAGGAGACATACTGTTTTTGTACGAACTGTTTTATGCAGAATTCCGTTTAGTAATACGTGTTTTACTCAATACTCAATAAGTTTATTGCTTCCTTACTAGTCTTCTATATTAATAATTTCGTCAAGGGCTACGGTAGACTGAATCGAAACCTTATATGAATAACAAAGCATAAAAAAGTATCAATTTTGAGTCGACAACATACCTATATCCGCAAAATTCGGATAATCTACCCAAAAAACTGATCCGTTCTTGAATTTGAAATCCGAATTTCAAACACGCTTGTGTTTTCACACCATTAACTACTCCCAAGTCGCTTTCGGCTACGGTAACTACGACTAAATTCCTTTAGTCCGCAATAAGAGTAATAATAATATCAAATTGGATTACCGTGGGAATGGCCACGGTACTCCAGTTCATTTACTGAAATGCCATATCTTTCAGACTACAGGAACATACATCTGCGACGTATGCAATAGACGATTATCACAAAAATCCCAACTCCTACGTCATATAAGAAGACATTTCGTCAAATACTACTGTAAGCTTTGCAAGTTCAGGTGTAAGATTAAGGAAGAAGGAATGAAACATTTGGTCAACGATCATAGAAAAGTGTTTCAATGCTTGAAGTGCGAGTTAGCGTTTGCGTGAGTATTCTTTGCTTATTTTATCATTATTAAAGGAAGAAGCACACTTATCAATTTGGAAAGGGATCGTAATTCGTAACCGTATCAACTCGAGGCGGTCAGTATTCTTTGTATGAAACTCCGTACTGCAACCGTAACATAAACGGCTCGCCCCTTTTGGCGAAAGGCAATACGGTGTTGATCCCTTTCCAGGTTGATAAGTGTGCTGACGTGTAAAATTAATTCTCATTTTCTTATATTTATCTTATTTTTTCTTTATTAAGGAAACAAACAGCATGAGTTTATACATGTGAGCTTAAAAAATAAATACAGTATAGTAGCCTAATCAGTTTCCACAGATAAACTTTACAAGTTAATCGAAAGTTATACCTATCAAGTAAGTAAGTAGCAAGTAAGAGTTTTAGGTCAGATCGTTTGACTTAGTTCATTGAAAGCGGGGGAATTTCCAACGGGGTTCAGCTGTACATAAGGCGATCTTAATGCCATTCGGAATTCTCCTCGTTAACCTTAGGGCCAAACTGAGAATAAAGTAAAGAACATCGACAGATCATAACCGTATCAACTGGAGGCGGTCACTTATCCGCGCCGTAACGTAAACGCCTCGTCTTGCGCGCGGTTGACAGCGCGCTAAAGGCGATACTGTGTTGATTCCTTTCTGAGTTGATAATCTGCTATGATCTAGTCCAGTGGTTCCCAAACTTGTTTAGTCTACTGCCCACTTTGAGAATAAATTCTTTTATAGCGCCCCCATTTTTGTAGTCAAGAGTCGAGTGCTCAGTCGGTGTCTAAGAGTCCTCCCAGTACATGATATTATAAATCGCCTCCCAGGCCTCTACACAATGCCCCGATTTTTTTCCGGGGTCTCTTACCGCCCCCCTTTAAGCCTGCAGCGCCCACAAGGGGGCGTTATCGCCCACTTTGGGAAAGACTCTAGTTCAATGGTATATTATTTTATTTTTCTTTATTAAGGAAACAAATAGCATGAGTTGATACATGTGAACTTAAAAAATAAAAACTGTAGCCTAATCAGTTTCCACAGACAAACTTTACAAGTTAATCGAAAGTTATGCAGATGTACCTATTATATGAATAATTTCATTTTAATTTCAGGAGCAGACAAGAGTTCTCCCAGCACTACAAGGAGTGGCACGAGAAGTTTGTGTGCGACCACTGTGGAGTCAGCTTCAAGATGAGGTACTGCATCAAGGATCACATCAGGTAAGTAATAAATACTTTTTGGCTATAAAAATGCCATGCATGTCCACAAAAGTGGGGTAGCCCCATTTTTATGTAGTGTATCATAGCCACGATAGCCGAACGGTAATAGGGTCGGACTGGCTGCCTCGAGATCCAAGGAATTTGGGTTCGAATCCCGCCGCCGCTCGACTATTGTGGTGAGCCCACTCGTAACACAAGCTTATTTAGCTTACCACGAGGGGCTAACGGGACTATTAGTAACATGTGCAATTCAAATTGCTAATAATATTTAAAAAAAGAAAAATTAAAAAAGTTGTCCAACGGTTGTTCCTCCTCGGCCAATCTGACCCCTTCATCGTTCAGCTATCGTGACTTCCGACCCCTTCATCGTTCAGCTATAGTGAGTTCCGACCACTTCACCGTTCAGCTATCGTGACTTCTGACCCCTTCACCGTTCAGCTATCGTGTCTTTCGACCCCTTTACCGTTTAGCTATCGTGACTTCCGACCCTTTCACCGTTCAGCTATCGTTATTTCCGACCCCTTCACCATTCAGCTATCGTGTCTTTCGACCCTTTCACCGTTCAGCTATCGTGATTATATCTGTGGTTAAAAACATTATTTTTGACAGGAAACAGCATTCGCCATTCGAGTGCGCGCCCTGCAATAAGAAATTCGCTCGCTACAACGGACTGTGGTTCCACAATAAGGTGTGCCATCCTCCGCCCAGCGACGGGTAAGTTCTATGAATTAATTATAAGGCCCTTCCATCAAGGCGGAGCGGAGCAGATAAGTTTTTTGTATAACCAAAAAAGATTCCATTATTGGCACATCTCCACTCTGCCCCGTTTCGATGGAAATGGATCTAGCGGAGAAGTGTCGGACGCACTTGTTTTTCTATAGAATTGACTGAATGTGCGGAGCGGAGCGGTGTTTCATAGATAAGAATAAACTGACAGCTAACAGCTACGCACAGCTCACACATCTCATCTGGTCTCCGCACCGCTCCGCTCTTCTCCGCTCCGCTTTAGTGGAAATAGCCTGCCAGCTTCTCCGCACATCTCTTGTCGTCTCCGCACTGCCGGGTCTTAGTCTAAAAGTCATAGGGGGTCATCCATAAAGTACGTCACACGTAAAGAGGGGGGGAGGGGGTTGACAAAGTGTGACATGGTGTGACAAGGGGTGGGAGGGGTCCTAAGTTTCGTGACATCACATTTCAATTGTTTCAAATATTTGATATAATGTTGATTTCATAAAAAAAGTACTTAATTTAAATGGAAATAAAACTAATTTCGGAACTGCTGTTAATTTAATAATTTTTCAATGTGAAATTGNGTACTTAATTTAAATGGAAATAAAACTAATTTCGGAACTGCTGTTAATTTAATAATTTTTCAATGTGAAATTGCAAAACATGTGACGTCACACTAGGGAGGGGGGGGGTCTCAGAAATGTGACCACCTGTGACAAGGACGGAGGGGGGGTAAAAAAATCATGAAATTCGTGTGACGTACTTTATGGATGGCCCCTAGCAAACTCATCAACTCGGAAAGGGATCAACACCGTATCGGTTTTCGCGCGCTGTCAACTACGTTGCGAGGCGTTCACGTTACGGTGCGAATAAGCGTGCGTTGCAGTATGGAGTTTCATACAAAGAATACTGACCGCCTCGAGTAGTGACGGTTACGATCCCATTCCGGGTTGATAAGTGTGCTTCGTCCTTAGTGGTGAAATATTTTTATCTCATGTTGATAGCCCAATAAAATAAATAAATTCTATTCTATTCTATAGAGTAGTGTCTCAAAAGAATAGATTTTGTTTTTTCTTGGCTTACAAAAATATGTTTTAAATATAAATGTAGGTAACTCAGTCAAATGCTAACTAAATATATTAAAATTATTATTACTTACGGGATTGCTACCATGTACCTTAGTTTTGAGTTTCCGATATTTCGGCACTGTTGCAAGCGCCATGGTCACGAAGTAACTGAAGAATCATGTGGTTGAGAAAATGAGTGCCGAAATATCGGAAACTTAAAATTAAGGTACATGGCAGCAATCCCGTCATATTAGTGACCTTGAAAGTCTAAATTTTCTTTATTGTCCCACCAATAGCCCACCACTGGGCGCGTACTGCGTGGAATGCGACAAGCGGTTCCCAGACGTGTACAGGTACAAGTGGCACCTACAGAACAGCGTCAAACACACGCCCAAGAAGAAAATACGGTAAGTAATGAAGGTATAGCCTCATAAGTAGGATGGAAGAGATTCTTTTCTTTTCTTTTCTTTTCTTTTCTTTTCTTTTCTTTTCTTTTCTTTTCTTTTCTTTTCTTTTCTTTTCTTTTCTTTTCTTTTCTTTTCTTTTCTTTTCTTTTCTTTTCTTTTCTTTTCTTTTCTTTTCTTTTCTTTTCTTTTCTTTTCTTTTCTTTTCTTTTCTTTTCTTTTCTTTTCTTTTCTTTTCATTTCTTTTCTTTTCGGCTCTAGATTACAAATATTTGGTACTTAATAAGTTTAAGTAGGCCAAATCCTCGATATACTTCTGGTAAAATTATAGATCTAGCGGTTAACTCAGCCAGTGCCTGAGATATGGGAGCACACGGGAGGGGTGACATTGACATTATGACGCGACAGAGCATACAAATCTGAAACATTTTTGTTGTCTGACGCTGACTTTTGAAAACCCTCCCGTGCCGCTCCCATACCTCAGGCACTTACTGAGCTAAGCGCTAGACTTTTATACTCGTGAACCTACAGTGGAGACTAATGCCAGTTTTCACCATCAATCCCTAATTTTCAAGTGACCCCTATGGCAACACATAACAGGAATTTTGTTTTCATAGGGGTCACTAGAGAGATGGCGGGAGATCGTGTGGAGAGTTGTATCCCGCCTCTACAACCGATGTGAACAACGCCTCAATGTGATCACGACCGCTCTGCCAAGAGCAAAACGATAAAGAAGAAAAAGGGGTCACTTACAAATTAAGGAGTGATGGTGAAAACGGGCATAATAATATGACCTGATGATGAAATGTAATTTTTTTTCAGAGTGCCATGCCCAGATTGCAGCAAGGTATTCTCAAAGAACATATACATGAAGGATCACTACAATCTTGTTCATCTGAAGAACTTTAAGTACAGATGCGAAGAATGTGACAAGGTACGAATTGATCATCATCATCATTTCAGCCACAGGACGTCCACTGCTGATCATAGGCCTTCCCCAAGGATTTCTACATCGCACGGTTGGTAGCGGCCTGCATCCAGCGCCTTCCTACTCCCTTTATGAGATCGTCTGTCCATTAAGTAGAAAGTCTTCTGATTCATGCTTACCAATACTTCTATACTAATTTTATAGAGGTCCCAGTTTTAAGAAATAAGGTGTTTTAAAGAACCATAAAATTTGGACCATCGAAGTTCTTCCCATGATAATAACCCATGGCCTTCTTCAAAATCTATATCTTATACCAAAATTCATAAAAATTTGTTCACTATTAAAGGCGAGATGTACAGACAGACGCAATAACTTTCTTCCCTTATCTAATATTAGTATGCATTTGCAGAATTTCGTCCGTAACGCTGACCTGGTGAAACATCGGCGGAAGATACACGAGGGTATTCTGCCACCGAAGAATAAGATATGCTACGTTTGTGGGAGAGGATTTACGGTGAGTTGCATGATGCGTGGATGAATCATCAGCATCGTCAGGTTTTTTAGTTTCCACCAGGGTTCGAGGATATATATCAAGGGATATATATCTTGATATATATCGGATATATATCCGATATATATCAAGCCGGTTTTAATGATATATATCAACTTTTAAAATTTGTTACTGTTTTTGTACTTTTTGACATAAGATTTTTATTTTTTTAGTTCAATTTGCCGTATTTCAAATAAATTTTATGTTTTTGCTTTATTTCTCTGATTTTAAGTTTTAAAAACATTAAAAACATGTTTATGTAACACTTATGCAATAGTATTCATGAATAATACAATAAAATAATAGTATGGCTTTCATACAAAATTGATATATATCAAAGTTGATATATATCCGATATATATCATAAATATCCGATATTTTGATATTTATAATAAATATCGGATATTTTCGAACCCTGGTTTCCACTGCACGACCCTCTAATTAACAAAAGGATTATGTCTTCCCAGCTTGTCTGGTCAGCGTGTAATATTCCACACGTCTGTACTCGACTTAGGACAAAATCCATGTCGCTTGTAGTGGAGACTAATTGACATGATGATGATGTCACTGATCTGCTACAGAATTTTTAAACTATAATCACACCACAATTACTTACCAAAGGTCGATACTGACATTTTCAATATGTTGCGCCCAATAGATAGAGGGTCAACCGATATACTACTCGTAATAATATTGGTCTAGTGGTATGACCACCACTAAGTCCTCTTGGCTAGCTACTACCATCTTGCTTAAGTATGTCGCCATAACAAGTAATAACAACAATGTTACAGCATTGTTATGTGCCAGCAGTTAAAGGTAGGGTTCGCGGGGAAGCTCGCTTCTACATTTCTGATCATCAATAGCTTTTCTTCGTTACAAAAGGTACAATATTTGTCAACAGACCAACGAGATACTAAGCCACCACCTCCGAACTCACTCGGGCGAGCGGCCGCATCAGTGCACAGCCTGTCCTGCGGCCTTTGCACAGCGCGCCGCTCTGCGCGCTCACAAGCGTACGCCGCATCCTTCCACGCGCAAGTGAACTGTTTTAACGCAATAATCATACGGTACAATATACACACATAGCTTACTGTCTAAGAATAAAGTCAGTAAAACACTTGAATCTTTCCTTTCTTTAGGCTTTTATAAGTCAGGACAGGATCTCTTTTATTTAATATCCGGTTCGAAGGACCGATTTAGTTTTTTCTAGTAACTGTCACAGATTGACTCGAATATAATAGTCATTAAACACTTGAGCTCTTCTTTTGTTTTTAATATGTCTAGACCTTTTTTCTTTAGCATCCGCTCGAAGGACCAAATGTTTTTTTTTGTGACTTACGCCTTCTGCTCAGTTTTGATTGTTACAAAAACCAAAAGAGGCAGGGCTAAGTAGCTTCATAATTACAAGCGTACGTCGCACCCTGCCACGCGCAATTGAACTGTCTTAACGCTATACACAAACGGTACATGTTGCTAGAGTAAAGAAAACATGAATATAATAGTTAAACACTTAAGTTGAGCTGTTCTTTTGTCTTATATCTAGCTCGTAGAACCAAATTCGTTTTTTCTAGCATCCTACCACGCGCAAGTGAACTGTCTTAACGCTATACCCAAACGGTACGAAACATAAACACATAAGTTATTGCTTGAAAATAAAGTCAGTTCAATATTCGAGTATGTTGCTCTTATTTCTGTAATATCCGGCTTGAAGGACCAAAAAGTAACAGAACAACAGAACCTAGTCAAGATTTCATATGAGTATTGTAATAATATAGAACTATCTTTCTTTATGTACTCGTAGGTATGTACTTATTATATGCTTTGTAAACAATTTTATGGTAAATTATTTTATGATAATAATAGCACAATAGTCACGCAATTATAATAAGCCTTTTATGGTCGAAATCATCATTTATTTGTTCCACTGTTGTGGTAACGTTATTTAATGTTGTCGGTAATACGGATAACGGCAATAACATAACGCTACTAATATACAGGGTGTGATGTAGTGGTTCTTGCAACTCACGAAGGCGAGTGAGCTTTACTTGTGTGTTTAAGTGTACATGCAAATAACGATAGTGTAATGTCTATCAAAACTTTTGAAAAACTAACAGTAGCGAGCCACCACACATGTAAAGCTCACTCGCCTTCGTGACTTGCAACAACTATACCTACTCCTTATTTCCATACATACTTTTTATTTTATCTCTTCCATAAAAAAGGAGGAATGTGTACTTTTGGAATTTATTATTCACCTTATTTTTAGTCGGATTGAAGAAATAAAAAGATTTTTGTAAGAAACATTGTTTTAATTCACAAATAATACAAAATATTCAGTCACAATCTAGATTGTAGATGCTATAAATTACTTAGTTTACGTTAAAAAATGGCAGTATAATTAAGTACATACAACCCGATCGAGTTAACTGCGTAATACATATTATTTAAAATATTCCTCTATCTCTTGCACAGTTTTATCTTTAGTCTCTGGTAGGTATTTATACAACAATAAAAGACCGATCGTCACCGAGAGACCATAAAATAGAAACGTGCCATGCATTTCAAACGTCTTAAAAATATAGGGTGAAACCTTAAAGAGGGTTCCTTGTAGCAAAAAGAAGACGACTGCTATAACTGTCACGGCTTCTCGGTTATATTTTATAGGAATAATTTCTCCGTACAAAGAAGTGGCCAAAATGATTGGCCCCACACCGATAGCCACTGAAAAACCTACCAGCAATGTTATAGAAATGTAATCATTTTGGATCAATATCGACAAATGACAAAGATACAAATACAACGACGTCGCGAACAAAAATACAGCTGCTATCGACCCGAATAAAAACAGCAATGTACGCCGTTTTAAAAATTTTGTCAACCCACACCCTAAATACATACATAGAACTGTCACACCATCCAAAATTAACATGCCAGTGTAAGCCGTTGACTCGCTCTTAGTTATTTTCTTCAACATGTCCAAAGCGTATATGATACACACCTGTTTCCCCGACAACTGATGCACACCCATCATTAGAGTTGACAATACAACTGGTATATAAAACTGTCTATCAGTCACAACTCCTAGGAAGCTTCTAGAATGTTCCTGTCTTCGCTTTCGTTCAGCCATTTGCGATGCGATCATCGCTTCCAATTCTCTTTCCGAATCTTCGCTGCTGCCTTTAAGCCATCGGTGCACTTTTCTACACTCCTCGATTCGACCTTTACTAGCGAGCCAAGTGGGAGATTCTGGCCAAAAAAATACAGTCAAAGAATAAATCGAATTTATAAAACTCGGTACACAAATGTACCTCCAATGGGTGAACGTGCCAATGGCATTTGCAATCCATACCGCCCAGAACACATTAGCCGTTTTAATCGTCAAAATAACCCCTCTGTATCGAGGTGAAGTGTATTCCACTAAACAAATTATTGCAATAGTAAAGGAACCAGTGCTCGACACGCCCTGTATTACTTCTGTGATGAGCAAATGTGCTGGAGATGTCGTGAAATAGTACCCGAAAGATACTATGATCATGCTGATGGAAATTATGATGCATAACTTCTTTCTGCTAAGTTGTGGTATAAGTATTGCTAGCACTATGATCGGTGGGACGGCAGAGTAGGCAAACACCGACGCTGGAAGGAAAATTAAGGCATTTTTAATATTTATCTTCGTTCTAATTTGACAATATAACTGGTTAGGGGAAAGCCAATTAAGTAGCATGTATTTTAAATAATTAATTGCCTCCTGTCACATAAAAAAAATATCAAGTGAATAATGTAGGCATAATCAATTTTATCGGTCATTTTCACAATTTTAAATATTTCGGAAACAATTAACAACCTGTATTAATTGTACGGTTTCTTTCTACTAGTTCCCGAATAAAGATGATAAAATATTGACCTTTGAACTAAATGGACCGCGATGAGCCAAAAACTACTATTTTGTCCGGAAACTGAGCAGAAAATGTGACCCCCACTGGGAATCGAACCCGGTACCACTGGGTATGAGACATAGATCACCTACGTTTTAAAAGGAACCCCCATGCAAAAGAGACTCCTAGCACTTGTAGTTTCTGAGATTTCGTTATGAGTGAGTCAGTCAGTGACCTTTCGCTTTATACAAATACTTAGCGGCCGCCCGCGTCGCACACCTGTATCCCGTTTTACCCCCTTAGGGATGCAGTTTCGCAAAATCCCGTCTTAGTGCGCACCTACGTTCAAAAGGAATCCCCATGCAAAATTTGAGACTCCTAGCACTTGTAGTTTCTGACATTTCGTGACAAGTGCGTGAGTCAGTCAGTCAGTGACCTTTTCGCTTTTATTTAAATTCTTAAAAAAATAATTAATTCTTAAAAAAAGAAGGTACTCACATAGCCACGAAGCCATTTCTACCGTTACAGCCTCAGTGGAGTTGGCCTCTTTCCTGTATTGTGCTATGAACACAGTGGGCGTCCCTAGCGATATCCCCGCAGAGAAGTAGTGCGTCCATAACCCGCTGGATATGAACAACTGAAACAAAATCACCATCATGACTATTCCCGCCTCTCGTTCCCACTGCAACTCCTGTGTAGCCAGGATCTACAGCTTGACCGCAAATAACACAACCAGTGAAGGGTAAGTTTGTCCCGGGGGAAAGTTAAACTGTCATTGGACCCGCAACGAAATTAATCAGAATAACATAGGAGAAGAAGTTCGAAGTAAAGGATCGACTTCTCTTCAATGCAAAGCGGATTAAGAAAAAAGGTTTAAGTAAAAAATGTTACATCACGGACAGTAAGCATTTATGATGGGAATGATTCCTATCACGTGAACTTATTACATTTTTACCAAAAATTTTTTTGCTGATTTTGCAACTATCTTCATCATCAGGTCATAGTCTCCACTGCAGGAGCACGACCCTCTAATTTACCAGAGGCAAATGGAGGAGTTGGTACACTCCCCACGCTGGCCTGGTTTGGCGAGGTCTCTAAAAAACTCATTGTATTATTGTTAGGCTTTTAAAAAGCACTTTTACACGTCCCAGTATTAACCCTACCACTGCTTCGGGACCATAAATGGGCCAGTGCTGAGAAGAAGCAACACAAGAAACTCAGTCACTATTGTCAGCATCTTTTTCAAGGGTTTACAGTCTTTAATAGTCTAATGCCCATTTTCAACAACAATCCATAATTTTTAAGTGACCCCTATGATTAAGTACAAAATTCCTGTTATGTGTTAAGTATCATAGGGGTCACTTAAAAAATTGGGATTGATGGTGAAAACGGGCATAAGTTCACTACACATTACCTAGCTTGGTATTTTAAAATCTAGAGATCTATTTTTAGTCGCAATTTTGTTTGATTTAGTTATATGGGAAATAATATACAGGGTGTAATTTTTTACTTGATTAAACAAGGGTTGATTATACTCAAGTAGGTACCTACAGTAATTCTCAATGGTCCCCTCATTAAATGACTGATTAATTTTTTTTTTAAATATTTGAATTTCGTTCCCTTGGGGAAAGTTGTTGCATTTGAGCAATAGAAGCAGTCGCTTTTTTTAGATCAAGTAGGACTATAATAAGTACACCCTGTATATGCTTTGGTCCAGCTGTGGACGTCTTTTGGCTAAAATGATGATGATGATATAAAAAAAAACCTATTTTACTTACCTGCCTCAGTAACGGTTTCCAAGACCTTTCCTCTTTAATTTTGTCCGGCAATTCATCCTTTGCAGTAGTTGGCACTTCCGCATATTCAAAACTAGGCATAATAATCCTTACTTTTTACTTAACTTGAAATAAAGTTCTCACTCACTGCCTTGCTGTTACTATGGCATACATAACACTGTAATAAAAATACACGGCTACAATATAAAACGTATACTTTCTGAGGAAAATGAATACACTAACGAGTCTTGATTGAAATTTAAAACACGTCTTTAGTATTAAACTAGCTTTCCGCCCGCAGGCTCGCTCGCGTGAAGTTTTTCGGTTTGACACTCAGCAATAATGTGGCTTTATATTGGTGAAAGAATTTTTAAAATCGGTTCAGTACTTAGATCCCGAAATTACCCCTTACAATTTAACAAATATACAAACACACAAACTTTACCTCTTTATAATATTAGTATAGATAAATGTGTGTGAAATTAACTTGACACTAGTTTACACGCATTTTATTTCTGCCACACCAATAAATTAATATTGACGTAGGTATATAATACCCATAAATTATCAGGGGATTTAGTCTTCACTGTAAAGAACGACCCTCTCTAATGTACCAGAGGCAAATGAGGATTTTTAAGTACAACTACATTCCCCATGCTGGCCAAACGAGTTTAAGTTGAGATGCTTACATACTTATTTGAAAACTGTTTCCCTTGTCCTTATAAAGCTCGGAGCGTCCCTAAAGCCTTGTTGGAGTTAGAGTGGATTCGACCAAACAAAAGTAAATATTAATCAATACTAATATTATAAATGCGAAAGTAACTCTGTCTCTCTTCCACGCCTAAACCACTGAACCGATTGTGATGAAATTTGGCATAGAGATAGTTTGAGTCCCGGGAAAGGACATAGGATAGTTTTTATCTCGGTTTTTGAAACAGGGACGTCGCGATAATGCGTTTTCTTTGGCAGACAAAATTCCACGCGGGCGGAAAGCTAGTTTCATAATAAATCGTCAGTTATTCGGCATTTTGACATATTTCCCATACTGAAACTGTCAATGTGCCAGTTATACCAGGAGTTATTCTCGGATAAAAGTTTGGTCGAATCGGGCCTAACTCGTCTTTAGTAACTAAACTACTCGCTACTGACCAAAAAAACGTTCACACTCGGTAGGTAAAAGGTATGTGCGGAAAACCCATAGAGTTAATAACTCTATGGGAAAACCCAAACGGCATATTTCCCGGACATTTATCTACATTCAAGAATACTGTGTCGACTGCCGATTCGAGTGCTGAGAGTCGCAAGTTCGATTCCCGCCGTTGGACTATTGTTGTGAACCCACTCTCCTACTTATGCTAAATAGCTAGCCTGCAAAACTAAGTAAGTACCTACTCTTCTAAAATTTATTA